TCTTGCCACCTTTGCCGATGACGCGGCCGGCGGCGAAGGAAGGCACCTTGATGTGTGCTTCGAGCTTCACTTCTTCTTTCGGGTTGAAGAAGTTTTCTTCTTTCAGCTTCCCAAATATTCGCCCCTGGGCCTGGAGAGGGCACAAAAGGGACAATAGAGATGGTGGTGGGCAAGCTGGAGGTGGCCTGCTGTGCCCTTCATTCCCACAGGCAATGATGTGCCAATGTCTGGCAGCACCAACCGTGGTCCCAAGCTCAGAAGCCCCCCTGGCACGGTGGGAACCGAAAGGATGCTCTGACCCTGTCCCTGCCCATGCCCCCAAGCCAGCCCCCACCCTGTGGCCACCCCACCTTGAACTGAGCCTCAGGTGGCCCCGTGATGATCACCATGCGCTCGCTGGCATCCGGACCTTCTGCCGGGGCGATCTGCAGGGGACAGGGAAGGAGTGTGAGTGTGACCCCTCCTCGGGCAAAACCTCCCCTGCGTGGGATGTGCCCCCATGCAGGGACACTCCCACGCAGAGACACCTCCCTGCCCGAGCAGTGGTGACAATCAGGACGCTGCAGGACTGGGTTTCTACTCATATGGGGAGCAAAACCATTCACCAAGGGCTCCCTTCTCCGTCCTCAGCAGTGGGAAAGGGAAACTGAGGCACAAAGCCCTGACCCAGCCCCTCATTCCCACTCACCTTGATGGAGGCGCCAGCAAACCGTGCCAGCTGCTTGATGTGCTGCCCCTTCTTCCCAATGATGGCCCCCACTGCCTGCGTTGGGATGAACAAGTTCACAACCTCCTGCTCCGGCAGCTGGAAAGGGCAGGGAAGAGCCAGAGGGTCAGGGAACAGCTGCACCAGCTTCTCCCTGCCAGCATTCCAGGCCTGAAGAGGTGGTGGGCTGGGTTGGGCTGAGCTGGGTTCTGTTGGGTTGGGCTGTGGTCCTGGCACACATTCCCTGCTCTTTGCCTGCCCTCCCAAGGTGCCCAAGGGAAGACCCCATGGCAGGAGGTGCCAGGGCACTTTTGGGGAAGGGGAACTTACGGGGTGCTGATGGGGGAAGGCGCCAGCTGGGGGGGCTCCATACAGACTCGACAGATAGGCTGAGGAGCCCTGCGGCGGGAGACAAAATGAGGGTCAGTGACATCAGTGATGTCCTCAAGGTGCCAGCCCCTTCCCAAGCACCCCCACCCCGACACTGGGAGTGTGTCACCACCACGAGTGACACGAGGGACACAGTGACCACCCCTCATCCCCTGAAACCCCCCCAAGGATGAGCTGCAGCCCAGATCCTGTGCCCATGGCACAGCACAAGGCTGGGATGGGGATGGGAGCTCCCAGTTAACCCCACTCCTTCTCCACTGCTTCTTTTTTGGCTTTGTCCTATTAATATATGTATCAGAAAAAAAGAACCCCTTCTGGCCTCACCAGGGAGCTTGAAAAGGGCCAGACAAAGCTTTGGGGTGAAGGACCCCACAACAAACACTGCCCCTCAGGAGACCCTTCCTGACCTCTCCATCACACCTATAAATAATTCCCACAGCTGTCTCCCAAAGGTTGTGGATACAGGCACAGCACCCTCCCTGCACAGGCCGAGAGTGACCAACCAACCCTCTTGGAGCCCTCCAGAGCCACCACACGCCCCCCACATCCTCCCAGGCACTCACCGTCCTCCTCCTCCCACTCTGCTGCTGGCATTCCAGGGAAAGAAAACAGCACAGGTAAATTAACCCACAGCTCAGAATAAATTATTTAGGGACTAATGGATGCAGCCCACAGCACCTGAGTGACCTGGGATGGACCTTCTCCACCAGCACCTTGGCCATCCTGCTCTCGTGGCATTGCACCATCCCTCCCTCTGTCACCTCAGGGGTTGTGAACATCCTTGCCCAGGTTTCAGCACCCCAAGAACAAGGAGAACCCTCCCCTGTGAGGTGGGGTGGAGACTGGTTCCCCACAAGCACAGCCCCTGGGCTGCCAGGGCAGGGTCCCTGCTGATGGCAGTGGATGCACAGGGTGAGCTGCTTGCTCCCTGCACACCCTGTGGCCACACCAGGGGCTCTGCTGGCCACCAAGACTAGACCCCCAGGGCACAACCCAGTCTATAACATCACAATCCAGTGGTGGGCTTGGGGTCAGGACTGAAGATCACCTACATGGTTTTCCCCTGCTCTCTTCAGAGAGCAGCACCCTTGGGACACAGCCAGTCCTTAAACACTGGTGAAACCCAGCTCAGCACAACACAGGGACGCAGCTGATCCCCCCAGGGGGTTGCCACCTTCATTCCCTGTCCTCTCCACTCTCCTGCTGCGATGAGGTGGCTCCTACAGCTACGGAGTCCACCCCATCCCAACAGCTCCAGGCACCAGGAACATCTCACACTTACTGCAAAGGGGTGGTAGGGGGTGGCAGCTGCAGCCCCTCGGGCCCCTGGGGTGGACGGCAGCATGGACAGCCCTGTGGAGAAGATGCCCAAAGCGCTGAGGTTCAGTCCTGGGATCAGGTTGGCCTGTTGCTGGGAAAGGAACGACACGGAGAAAGGTGTGAGAGGTGGAGGAGCTCAGCACAGTGATGGGCGAGGCCCCACCCTTGTAACACACTGATCTCCGAGTTCCTGCCGCGGGAGGGCTGAGCTTACGTTGACGGCCACCACGTCGTTCTCGTAGGCCTCGCGCAGCTTCTTCATGATCTCCACCTCGGCGTTGGAGCAGGCCTCCGTGCTGCCCTTCACCGTGATGGTGCGCTCCAGGTTGTAGATGGTCAAATCCTGCAAACTGCCCCGCGGGAAAACCCACAGACATGCTCACATTCCTTCCTCAAGTCAAGAAAAACCCCAGGAGAACTCAAGTCACAGCTGAGGGGTCCCACGAGACACAGTGGAAAGCCACGCGCCCTCTCCCTGCCCGACACCTGGGATAAGGAACATCCACCTGGATAGGGAATGCACACGGGAGAACAGCTGCTCTGTTTTTAAACTCCGCTGCTTGTACCATGTTGGACAGAATGGGGTGGCCTTGTGTCCACCAGGACTTCACTGAATCATTAAATCATGGAATCATGGAATGGCTTGGAAGGGATGTGAAAGCTTATCCAGGTCCATGGGCAGGGACACCTCCCACTATCCCAGGTGGCTCCAAGCCCCATCCAACCTGGCCTGCAACATCTCCAGGGATGGGGCAGCCACAGCTTCTCTGGGCAACCTACCACCCTCCCAGGGAAGAATTCCTTCCCAATATCCCATCTAACCCTGCTGTCTCACTGTGGGAGCCCATTCCCCCGGTCCTGTCACAGGAACTTACGGGGAGATGGTGATCTTTGTGCCTGTGTCCTGCTCAATCTTCTTGAGGTTGCGGCCCTCCTTGCCAATCAACCTCCCCACCAGGCTGTTGTGTGCCAGGATTTTCAAGGGAACCTCTTCTGCTCTAAAATGGATTTCAAAAAAATCAAAACTAAAGGTCCAGCCAGTCGGGCAACACAGAAATTTCCAGCCACGGGTACTAAGGATGTGTTGGAAAGGAGAAGGACCACCAGCACCGTTTCCCACCACGTTTTTGGCCAAGCCAGGAGCACTCACGATTTTGTTTCATCAGCCTCCTTCTGCATGATATCCAGGATCATGCGGCACGCTTCCGAGCACCCCTCCGGCGTGGCGTGGATGGTGATGGGCTTCTCGGCAGCGCCAGCGTTCTCCTTCCGATGGATGTCAACCCTGCGGTGAAACAACCAGCAGAGAGCAGCCCCTCAGATGAGTCTGGGGTCACACTGAGGTTTTTGAGAGCTCAGGAGCTGAGAAAAACTCATTTCAACACTCGCTCAAGCTTTGGGGTGAACCTGGGTCTCAGCTGCATCTACCATCACCTGGCTCACGCAAGCCCAGGCAGCGCTTGGTTTCGGGTGGTTTGGATCGGATTTGGACCACGTTCACCTGTAGGACCCGAGGTCCTGGAAGCTGAGGGCCGTCACAACATCAACCAATGCATAGAGGGGGCAGAACAAAACCTCAACTGGACAAAGCCCTGAGCAACCTGGTCTATCATCTCTGACGCCAGTCCCGCCTGGAGCAGGACTCATCAGAGGCCCTGCCGACCTCCGCCTCTCTCTGCGCAACACCCGAGGCTGTCCAGCGACCACGTCCTTCGGGACAGAGGGCACTTACCCGTGGGCAGCGTCTGTCACGACACGGAGGCACCCGGCAACAACAGCGCTGGTACTCACGCCCTTCCAGGGGAGACCAGAAGGCTCCCGTGCGCAGCGGCAGGGACCGTGCTCTACTCCTCCGGTCCTCCCTCAGCTCATGGCGGGAGGAGGCACGGCCTCCAGCTCGCTCCTCACGCTCAACCGTACCTGGCAAAGCCCTGAGAGAGAGGGAGAGAGGAAAGCAGGGTAGGAGACTCCCGCACCTCAACCACGCGCCTTGGGCAACAGGGGGAAGAACTTTTCTGTCTTCTCCGCGCGATCCACGCGCTCTTCCCACCGGAGGGTGATGCCGTGCGGCCATCCTGCCATCGGCCACCACCTTGGTGTCCCTGTCACTGCTGCAGCCAGGGCCAGATCTTCCGAGCAGGTGTGGCAGTGGCAGCTCAGCCGCCCCGGAGTGCTGCCAGCGCTCAGCTCTGACACGGCGGGTCCCCTCCGGCCACGTCTCCGAGGTCATGTCCCGACGGGATCATCCAGGGTGCTGCTGCACGTGCCAGGCCAAGGACTGCGGGGCAGAGTCACCACACAGTGCCACACTGGGACGCTGCGGGGTCCAGGTGGGTCTGCACAGGTCAACTCCTGAAGACCCAGCACGTTGGAACACAGACGGTGGAAGGGGAGCAGCTGGGCGAGCCTTCCCCGAGAGAAGGGCAGGACCAACCCCGCCCGCTCCAAAGGGATCCCAGAGAGGTTCCATCCAAGCACTGAACAGGGAGGGAAGAGTGTGATTCCCTTTGTAGGCTCCATCTCTCCAGATCTCCCATGGCTTCAGTTGGTGCTTCCAGCCATGGAGCTCCCTCAGGTTGGCCTGGAGGATCTGTTCCCAGCAGGTACACGGACACTTGCTGCCACACCTTCACCAGGGACAGGGTGAACACGTCATGACGGCCACATGAGGCGATGACAGACCACGCTGATGCTCCCAAGGTAGGGGGAATTGATGAGGAATCCAAACAAACCCCACAGATGGGAGCCACGCAGCTCCTAAGACCCGTGAGCAGCTGAGGCTGGTGGAGAGGAGAACACGGCTGAACCTTCACACCAGAGAGGGACCAACTGCCCCAGAAGTGCTGAACGGAGGCACCGAGGTGATGAGAACCTTGGACAAGCCTTAGAAAGGGGCAGAAGCCAGGTTCCTGGCCAACCAACCCATCCCACGTTGGATGTGTGGATGCGTGGGCACAAGCTCACTTGCCAGAGAGAAGGGACGCCAGGAAGAGGCCGCTGCATTCAGGCACGTCCCACCCCAGAGAGCTGGAGAAGGGAGAGCTCTGGAGCTCCCAGCACATCCCAGCTCTGCTGAACTGCTCCAGTCCAACAGGAGATGGAGAAGAGGACTTTCAGTGCCTTCACCCCATCACCAGGTGCTGCAGGGAGGGATGACCAGGGCTGGGGGGACAGAGTTTGCCCACGGCGCAGCAGGAAAGCCTCCAAGAGACCTTATGGGGGGCTGGGAATGCTTCAGGGAGTGGCTGCCACGGGGGACAGCTCTCTCCAGGTGGTCAATACAGTGTAGGGTTATCCTGGTCCCATGGCTGCTGGGTAGCCACAATCCTCTCCTGGAGTTCCAAGGGCTGTGGAAGGTCACCTCATGGGTGGGCTCTTGGTCTGGGCTTCTTCATGGAAAAAGACGGCTCAGCCTGGGGACAGTTTTGCCTCCTGGGGCTCAGAAACATCTTTGGGATCTCTGTGTGTACAACCAGGAGTGAAATCCAATGTGACCAGAGGAATCCAGAAGCCAACATCGCTCTGGGGAGGAGCAGGGGCCAGGCACCAGGATGCCACCCTCAGATCATCACCGGCAGATGAGGGTGGCCTGGGCAGGGACAGAGTGTGAGACGACACCCAAAGCGAAGGACAGGGGCTCCTCTGACTGCCTGGGATGGATTCTTGAGGTGCCTTTGCCCAAGCCTGAGCAGAGGTAGTGCCTCACTGTAGGCAGGGCAGGAGAGGGCAGAGCACTGAGCAGGACCTTCCTCCACGGCACCGGGTCTTCAGGAGCCACCCCACAAGGAGGGACAATTCAGTGGCAGAAACTGCTCCAAGCAACAGCATTTGGTTTCATGGTTGGGGAGAAACTGGCACCTTCCCACCTTCCTTACTAGGCTCAGGGCTTGGAAAGGGCAAATTCACTTCTTGGGTGGTGAGGACACAGCTACAACTGCTGCTCATCCCACCAGGACTCACCTGGAGAAGGGCTTGCAGCCAACCAGCATCTGCTCACGGCTACCAGGTGGCCACGCCCTGGGGCGAGCCAGGCTCCAAGAGCTCCTCTCCCTACTCCTCTGCCCCCTTTCCATACAAACCTCTTCCTGCCAAGCCAGCGCCAAGGTTTGGCTCGTCTTTCTACCTCCAGCCACACTACTACCAGAGATTTGCCTCTAAAAACTCCTCTGAGAACTAGGATGCTCTGGGACAGAAGTCCTAGGTCCCATGGGATCACCAGGTTCAGGATGATGAGCACAGGAGAAGACAGCTTTGGGTTAAACACAAACACACCTGGGCAGGAACAAACCATGCAGGAAAACCATGCAGAAAATGAGCGGTGAGATCAGGAGAGTAGCAACAAGAGAAACATGGAAAACTTTGGCAAGACAACCCCACTTTTTGGTTTTTGTTTTCCTTTTTTAGTTCAAAAATAAACACATTAATAGCTAAAAAAGGCTTCAAACAGTTACAAAAGCCCATCCTTCTCGTGGCAGTGCTCCCACAGCGTTCCTTTCCCCTCAACAGCTCTAGCCCATATGGATGTTGCAGGATGAGCAAATCCCAAGAACAAAGAGCACTGCACTGAGGATTCACCTTTAGGATTTCATCCCCAAACTTGCCATTTCTCCCCTAAAGCCTCATCCCCAGCTGTTCTCATGAGGCTTTAGGAACTCATTCCAGGCCTTTTCCAGCACACGTCCCCCTCCTGCCACACCCGGACCACCCTGGCCAGCAGGAATGGTTTAGCACCTGAGCTCTCCCACCACCCCCTGAAGGCTGCACCCCAAGAAATCAGCAAGTGGCTGGCACTCCAAAGCCCCCAGCGCAGGGAGAACCCGAGCTGGGACCTAGAGCACCCTAGGGAAGGAAACAAAACCGTTGGAAGTACTTACTTGGACTGGGTTTGCTTAGTAAGGTTCTTTATGGTCAAGCCCTCCTTTCCTATGATCGCACCAACAAACTGCGTGGGCACCAGCATCCTCAGTGGGAAATCGAGCTGTTTGGGCTGCCAGGAGCCCCCCGGGGAGGAGCCCCGCTCCCTGGAAGAGTGGCCCCCGCGGCGGGATCGCTGGGGGGGCGGAGGGGAGCTCACCTCTTCATCCGGGATGTAGGAAATCTTGAAGGAATAGCTCTCAAACTGGTGGTCGCTCAGCTTCTCTATTGCTCTGCGAGGCAGGGAGATGCAAGGGGTGGTGAGGGGCTCCCCGGGGATACCTCCAGCACTCCCACCACACAGGAAAGATATGGTTCCCAACTTGCATCTTCCCAGCTTGCATCTTCCTCCCTCCCCGGTCTGGAGAAGCTGGCCATGGGAAGTCAGAGCCCCACACTCTTCCCACGAGGAGCAAGCTCCATAACCTGGTGGGATGTCAGCCCCTTCCACGTGGGTCAGTCCAAAGCTGGCACAGGACGTTTCCCCCCAGCCCAGGGACCTGCCCCTTCACCTGGGCAACCACGCAGCACGGGAACAGTCTCAAAGGGCTCTTTGGACATGGCAAAGGTGACAGAGCAGCTCCAAGCCACCACTGCTGCTCCAGGGAGAAGGATGCAGCCTGTGGTGTCCCCTCTTTTGGGAACCCCGAATCCCTTCCTGGCTGGATGAGGCTGGGAGGCAGCACCTGGACTCTCCACCCCACAAGCCCCTCTCAGCAGTGATGTTTGGCCATGCTGGTGTCTGCCGTGACCCTGCTTGGCTTCAGCTTTCCCTGCTCCTACCACATCCCACTGCTGCTGCTGACAGATCACAAGCAGATCCTTGCCAGGCTTTAATTCCACATCCTCTGAGGAATTCTGCAGCTTCACCATCCCTTTTCTACGTCCCAAAGAGCCTCTTATCCCAAAGCATTAAGCACTGCTGTGCTGGGGAAACTCCTTGTCTTCCTTTATTGCCACATCTCCCAAGACCATGGTGGGATTTTTGGGACCAGGACTTGGATCATTGTGGGCCCCTTCCAGCTCAGTGGATTCCATGATTCTAAGACACTCTTGTCATGTTTATCTGTGGCCCACAGCACATCCAGCTGAGGCTGGAGGTACAAAAAGGATTCTCCTCTGCCCTCCTGGACCAGCAGATCAGTGTCCCCATCTCTGTCTTCACTTATCCACGATGGGTCACCTCAGATGGGAAGCTGGTAGAATGTCCATCAACAAATGGACTCACAAAAGCTCTTTGTGGCCTGGGATCTGTTCTTGGTCATATAAAAAACACCCTGGCCACTAATAATAATAAGCTCACTACTTACTGGCTGGTCTCCAGCACAGGGCTGAGGTCTCTACAAGACTGGAATAAAACGTTTTGTTTGGAACCATGCTTCCACTTCTGAAATAACCCCTAATTTGTACTGACCCATCTCCCATGCCAGGGGAGAAGGCAGAGGACAGCCCAGTGCTGGGCCAGCTTAGACAAGCCTGGAAGATACCTGGGATTCCTTGGGAAAGCTGGTGTGGTGTGAAATCATGGGCAGACCAAGACAAACCCCACTCACACTTTTGCCTCCTCCTTGGTGGCGTAGGTCACGTTGACAACGGCAGTTTCTGTGTCTGTGTTCACTGCGGGGAGCAAGAGAGGCAGGGTTGGAGCGGGGCTGGGAGAGGTGTCACTGCTGCTCTCAGCACGTTCCAGAGGGGGGGATACAGCTGGGATGGGGGCAGGGAGATGCCTGTGCCATGGCACAGCTGGGCACCCTCTGTTTTCCCCCCTGGCACCCTGTGTTTTCCCCCCAGCACAAGGACTGGGCTGGATCCAAGGCTGGATCCAAGCAAAATGCAAGGCTGGACATCCCCAACCCACCAGTGCATCCCAAGCTAGACACAGCTCGTTTTCGCTTGTAGGGATGATAGTTTTTCCAATTTTTCAGGGACCAGGAGCATTCCTGGGAATGGTGGATGAATGGCTCACATCATCCCACCACTGGATGGGTGGCTCCACCTCCACCAGCAGGGTTTGTGTCCAAAACCCATTCCAGACCAGTGTTGCTGGTCTGGTTATCCAAATAGGCAACATCCCAGTGGGCTTCCTGCAGCCTGGGTGGAGCTGGGAGCAGCACTGGGAATTTTACAGGGATAAGGACCACGCTGCACCATCTTACCTTGCTCTACATTCTCCACCGTGCCGTACTGAGCTAAGAGGCCATCCAGCACCTGGGGACAGAGCAGCAAACCAGGCAGGTGAGGCCCCAGGCAGGCAGGGCAGGAGCCCACTCCACCCACAAACACCCTCCAGCACCACCCACCTGCTCCAATGCCTCCACCCACCTGCATCCCATCATCCCAAAGCCGACCCAGCACTCAAAAGTGGCCCACAACCCTGCCACCCAAAAGCAGGCAGGAGCTGGAGCCCGGTTCATGCTCCCTCCTGTGGTTACTGGGAAGTTAAAGGGCAAGCCATGTGCTCCAGCAGCACAGCTCGTGGTTCCTCAGGCAGTTTGGGGCACAGCTCAATCTGCTGGAGGAGATGAGTGGGATGTTTTTGGGATCAGCCACTCCTTACCTCCCACTGTAGGTGGGGAGGGATGTTTCGGATCTGGATCTTCCTGCTCCTGCAAAGACAAAGCCCTGGGTGAGGGTCCGCAGGCACCTCACAGCAGAGGGAAAAGCCTCTCTGGGAATCAGAGAGCAGCTGCTGACAGCTTCCCAAAGCATCCCACTTCCCCACACTGAGCCAGGGCAGCTCATCCCCAGGGAAAGCCATTTCTCCTGGCTGTGCCCTGGTCACCACTGGGGCTGAAGCTCTCTCTGGAATGCTCCCTCCTCATGCTGGCTGTCAGGTTTCCAAGGAAACCTCCTGGAAGGAGCCTCTGCAGAGCCATGACCACTCAGGGATGTGTGGACAGCCCTGCCCATGCTGCTCTGGGCTGGGAACAGGACCCCCAGCCCCACCAGGGCCAGCCCTCCAGAAGTACATCCAGCTAAGGTCCACCACTTCCTAGCACCATGGGGCTGCTTTCCTTAGGGAAATCCAAAGAAATATCCTTGTAAGCCCGAGCTTGGAGATGGCCAACACACCCAGCCTTGTCTAGTGGCACTTCCAAGCTCACATGACAACACGGCTCACTCCCAGCCTGGCTGTGGTTCCATTCAAACCTGGGCATGGTTTCATTCCCAACCTCGCTATGGCTGCATTCCCAAACTGTGGTTGCATTCCCAAGCTGGCCGTGGCTTCATTCCCAACCTGGCTGGGGCTGCACAGGAAGCCCTGCCAAGGCTTCCCAAGGGTAGCAGCCCCCAGACACCTCCCCAGCCTGGCTGTGAGATGTGCTGGGCACTGAGAAGTTCTGACACAGCCCAATCCAGGGAGGATCCAGCCAAGCCACAAGCCACCCCCCTGTTGCCATAAGGTAGGGAAATCACAAAGAAAGGCTTTATAAAATCAAGGCTACTCTCCTCGTCAGGCTAGCGCTTTGCAAGTTCCCATGTGAAAACAATCCTAGTGAGAGCAATTCATTAGCACAACAATCTATTCCCAGGTGAAAAACCAACACCTGTATAAACTGTATTTACACTGTTAGACAGGAAAATGAAAACCTTCTCTCACAAACAACTTTTCCTACATGGGGAGTTTGAGTGTCCAATCAATACAGGGTAACAACTTGTTACTAACCAATAAAGAAATTGGCAAGAAAACTACTGACCAATTGGAGTCCCACATGAGGTCTGTAAAACTGTATAAAAAGGAGTTATGTGAATAAAGAATGGCATTTCCATGAAGAAAATGGAATCCCACATGATTTATTCCAATACCACCCAGATCAGCATTCCCAGTCCTGCGGGGAGTCACTCAGCTCTGACCACAGAACAAGGAAGGCCTTCCCGAACAAACCACCCCCATGCCCACAGAGCCAGGTTTTGGGAGCTGAGCAGTTGCTGGAAGCTGGTTTTGTGAAGTTTTCCCTTTCCCTGGGATGAGTTCAAGGAGGATGCTTGGAAGGACAGGTCCCACCAGCCTGAGAGGCAGCCCCAGCTGATGGCCACCACCACCCAGGGGCTTTGGGCCAAACCCTGCAGGACAAGGAGGCAGGAGGAGGTGGAAGAAGACATCAACAACCTGATCCCACCAGGAATCTTCAACCATTTGGAAACAAGACCTTCCAACTCTGGTCCCTGCTCTCACAACTCATTGCACAGACAAACCCTGAGCCCCTGACAACAATTTTGCCAGACAGAGTTCCTTGGGCAGTTTGGGGCCAGACACCAGGGCCAGCGAGGAAAAGACAGGGAAAAAGATGTTTTTTGAGATGTGGGCTGTCAGGGCAAGACAAACCCCACAGCTCATCCCATGAGAAGGATCATGGACAAGCAGGTGAAACCACCAGGGAGCCTGGTATCTCCTGGGGGTGCTCAGCCACGATCAGTGGGACAGCAAAACCTGTGCTGGCATCCAGCTGAGCAGGAGCGCTCAGGAAAAGGCTCCTGTCCCCAGCTGCCACCCTGCAAATCCCAGAATCCCTGTGAGGGGAGGAGCAGGATTTGTCCCATCCCACCCCCAGCCATGCCCACCCAGGCCAGGAAGGAGGACTTGGCCCAAGGGAGACCCTGGCAGTGATGACCCTGCTCTGTTCACCTAACAGAGCCTGAACCCTTCTCCTGCCCTCGTCACCCATCCATGGCCAACGCTGCTCCCAGTCTAAAGATCCTGCAGGGACCACTGCAGAAAATGGGATATTGGTAAAACCCACCAGCATTTATCTCCCAGAGGGTCTATTTTAAGATGCCCAGGTCCTGCCTGGATACTCAGCTGCCTGGAGACTGCTCCTGCCTGCTCCAAGGGACACATCCCACTGCTGAGATGATGGGTGCCACACCGCGAGGCCAGAGCACCTGAACAAATCCCAGTGATCCCAAACTGGAGAGAGCTGGACACACTGCCCAGCCACCCCCACCACCTCCCAGACCCAAACCCACGGGGGGCACCTTCACCCCAAGGTGCCACTGCCCAGCTCCAAGCCAAAGCATCACCACAGCCACCCTCCTCTCCCAGTGTGGGATGCCTGGGATGCCCCAGGCTGGATCACGGAAGAGCTGCTCTCCATTTGGGGTTCCCTTGGCTCAGCCCACCTGTCACCAAAGCCCAGGAGCCCAGGGGACACAGGACACTTGGAAGGAGCACATCCAAGAGAAACCAGCACAGCAGATGGACACGGTCCCTTTGCCACTCCTGGAAAAGCCCTGCCTTGAACTGGATTGCTCCAGCACCAAAATTTCCCTACTCCTCTGCCAAGGCAGACGCCAGGGGAGATGCCAGAGCAGCCCTGGTTTCCTCAGGTGCTGCCTCACCCTCCTGGCCCACCTCCCAAAACACCCAAACAGAAAGATCACAGCAGGTGCCACATAACCCCACCTCCCAACGGGACATGAGCTTATTCCCACTTCCACCATCTATCCAAAGCAGGGCAGAGCATCTGGAGACACCCACAGGGCACTCAGGCTTCAGGGCAGGGCTCCCAGCAGCTCAGCATCACCACCCAGCATTTAAGATAAGGTTATTATTCCTACTGGGTGTGCTTATGGCTCTTGTAATCCCACACCTGGTTGAAGCAGTGCTGGAGCAACACGGCCATCCCTGATGGAGTCATGGATGCACATCTGGAGCCATGACAGATGGATGAGTTATTCCCAGGGCTGGGGCATGGGCCATTCTTCTCCAACACCACCCCCAGAAGAACTTTTGTGGCAGAAACCCCTTTTATTTTTATTTTTGCTTTTATTTTAGTTCCATTTCCCCCTTCTCTCCCCAACCCCAGGGACTGACTCCAGGGCACGCACAGAATGCCAGCACAGGAGCTCATGACTGCCATGTTTCACCCACCCCATTTTGCAGGACACTGGTGGGAATTTAAGGAATGAAATAAATCCTAATAACCAGATGGGGAGAAAAATCTCAACTGTCTGATGCAACTGGCCCTGCTGTAGTGAGTGCCCTGGGATAACCTGGAGAGCTGCAGCCCCCAGGCTCTTCCCTGCCTCCACACACCCACCTCACTGCCTCAGCAGCTCCAAGGGCTGATGAAACCAGGTTCACCTGCTTTTTTCCCTTCTAAATTGATCCCAATCCAGTCCTGCTCAGCAGCAGCTCGAGGAGGAAGCAGCTCCTCCACCCCAGAGCAGGGTTTGGGTACCACGGGCTGCCGGCAGCACGGGGAGGATCAAGCAGTGAATGAGGAGGTGAGGTGGGCTCAGGAAATAATCCAGGATGGAGCTGTATGTCCTCTTCTCCACCCACTGGAGCAGAATCATGGGGCTGGCACCACAATCCTGCAGGGAAAGGGGATGGAAAACCCCCAGCCACCCAGCCATGCCCTGCCAGCATCACCACTGCCACGCTCCTGCTACCTGCACCTGCTGAAACCATGCAGTAAAATAGGAAAGCCTGAAAACTTGGGGGTTATTCCCCAGGATCAGCAGAACTGAGGGGGTTTTGGCACAATCCCCCCTTTTCCAGCATAGCTCCCAGGGAAAATAGTGAGTAACAACCCCACTGAAATCCTGGGACACGGAAATACAAGAATAAAAATGTCATGAAGGTGTGAAATGGGAATGAGCCAGCAGCTCCCTGCCCAACATCCACAATCCCTTCCTGGATTTTCCCTGCTGGCCCCATGGATCACCCACCCATCCTTAGTGAAGGTGAAGCTCCAGAGGGACTGTGTCTCCCACAAGAATTTGGGAACTAGAAACAAGCTGGCTTCAATATAAGCTCTATAATATAATAATAAAACCTCAACAAAAGAATTCAATAATAAAATAATATAGCAATATAATGCTATAGAATAATATCATACAATAATATAGAAAAATAAGATATATTGGTATATAATTAATACAGTGGAATATAAGGGATGGCTTCAACACTCTCTGCCCTAAAAAACACAGATTTTTTCCTACTTGTGCTTTGTAATATCTTCCTGTAATAAAGCTTAAAGGGATTTTATCACCTTCCACCTCGGATCAGTGCTGAGGGCAGAGAAAACACGCTCTGCAACCTCCTGTTTTCCATAAAAATCAATTTCCAAGAGAACTGGGGAAAAAAAGCAAAGAGAAAACATGCTGAAAACCCAGTGGGGGCTCTGCTTGGTTTATGAAATGTTTGTCCCAGGCAAGAAAACATCGACAAAAAACCGATTCCCATCATCAGGCAGGGACCAAACTCTGTCCCAGCTGAATTTTCCAGACCCAGCAGCTCAGAGCCTGAGGCAGCCTGACGGGGCAGGGAAGGAAGTGGCTGCTGGATTTGTGATTGCTCGTTATTATTGATCTTTTCTGGGGCTGTTGGGGCTGTCCTGGAGGAGTTTTGCTGTCACCCAAGCCCACCCAGCAGCCCCCCTCCAGTGCCAGGAGCGTGGAGAGGCTGTGGCTGCTCAGGTCCCCTCCCAGCCCGGGGGTTTTGCTCCTAAGGAATTAAAAATCCCTGGTTGGAAAAAGGGGGAAACAAAAGAGGAGGGGAGAAAGGTACAAAAATAGAGGGAAAAAAAAAAAAAAGGAGAGGGGATAAAAAGGATAAATGGGAAGGTTGGGGGGATGGAAAGAAGGGGGAAAGAAAGAAGGGGAAAAGAAGGAAAAGGGGTAAAAGACAAGGGGAAAAGGAAAAGGAAGGAGGGAAGGAAGGTGGGGGAAAATAAGAGAGGGGGAAAGGAGAAGGGGGGGGGAAAGGGGAAGGAAAGGGGAAAAGAAGAGGGGGGAAAGAAAAGGATGAGAAAAGGAGGTAAAGGAAAGGGGAAGATAAGAGGGAGAAAGAAGGAGGGAAGAAAAAAGGGGAAGAAAGAAAGAAAAGAAAGAAGAAGGAAAGGGAAAAGGGAAAAGGGAAAAGGGAAAAGGGAAAAGGGAAAAGGGAAAAGGGA